GCTTCCGCTCGCCGCCGGTAAGGCCACACGACCATCCGTCCAATTTAACCAAAGAACACCGCCCCAAAACTGTACAAGCACAGACAGCTATTGCTCGCTGACGGGAGGGAGCACTACTGGTTGGATGCCATGCTTTGGTCCGTGATGACTTGAGAACACGTCTGACAGCTCGGCGTGTCTGATACTTGTCCAATGTGGCAAGATTTCGCTCAAGAGACGTGCTTCGGAGCTACTACTAGCTGCTCCATCCAGAAAGTAAACATGATTATTGACCCTCATCATTCAAGACCAGCCGGCAGCAGGCAGCAGGCAGCAGGCAGGAGGCATGGTCTGTCTACCCACGTAGAGTACACCTTGGCTTGCCGGGTCGACACAGGTGACAGGGTTTCGTGCCGGATTACCATAGCCAGCTCTCTCGTATACCGGCAACAGCTACTATAGTAGGAGTAGCACCCAATCCAATCCTCTATAGACGGCGCGTGCGAGTCGCCACATCCATCCATCCACTCCGCGGCGCAACTTGCCGTCCAGTCGCTCGCAGGCACGGCCCGTGAAGCGTGAAGAAACGGCGGCGGATCTTTCCGGGGACGTGGCTATGCCTGTGACGCATGCGCTGCGATCCAAAATGACCGAGGCCAACTACTAGGAAAACCGAAGCTGTTCGCGGCTTGCGACTTGCGAGTGCAGGGTGAGATGCACGGCACCGGCCAGCCGCAAAGCCGCTGTCCCCCTCGCCTGCCTTCCTGCATCCTCCATCCGTCCCAGTCCCACCACGAGTTATTTTTACCACGCACTTGCCTCCATAAATTTTTCTTCCCGGGTCACGTCAACTTGTTGCTGCAATTAGGTTAGGTTAGGCTAGTACCCCTACTAGCAGAGCACAGATTTTTTGTAGCTCGGGACGGATAACTCAGCATGGCATACGACGTACCACGATGCGCCCAATCTTTAATCTTTTCTCTAGAAACCAGAAACCAGAAAAGGAAATTAAAGGGGAAGGTCGGCTCCTTTCCGATCGTCGATGTCACTGTCACATCACACTTGTGTGAATATAAAAGCAGTTTCAGAAAACTGGCTGTTGTTTGTTATGTTGGCGAGTAGAACGGGGTTGCTTAGCCTTGCACACACAGACAGATATCCGGTTGGCGGCAGTGAATGAAGAGATAAAACCAGCCATTTCAGTTTGATCATACGGAGCAGTAGTAGTATCTATCCCAATAATTCGCACATCTTTTATGTGCCGGTATATTCCGCCAACTTGCAGTTGCTTTCAACAACTACTCCAAGTTGACCAACTGAATTCCGGAGAGAAAAGGGGAAAGATCGATCGAGGAATCCGTTGCTCACGCTCTCCGACGCATTTGTTAACGGAAAAACGAACATGACCTGATGCTGAGGCACCTGGAAAACAGAGCAGAGCAGCCACTTGGGGTCTGGTTTCCTCTTCTTTAGACTAATGAAAACGAAGCAGAAACGGACAGAACTGAGTGCTATCATATCTGTTTTTATATATTATTGCAGAAACGGGATGAATACAAAAACCTCGTAATTGAATACGGAACAGATACTGCCGAAAACGAGCACGGAACGAATATAAAGCAGACACGGAAACAGAAGTGTGTGCCGATCGAAACTTAAAACCCCCCCTAGAATCATAGAGAAATACACACAAAAACAAACATATTTAAGGAATTGTTAACATGGCTACATAATAATATCATTATGTTTAGCGTAGTATTGTAGTAGTAGTGGACAATTGCGTATAGGGTCAAGCTGATTGCATGTGTAGTAGTAGAAGTTGGGCCTCAGATGATCCATTCTACTGATTGTGTCATTTTGTGTTGTTTGGTGGTTGGTCTACAAAGCACCCATAGGTCTATAGTCAAAACGGAAATTTCATATTCACAGAAATGAAAAGCTCTGTTTCCATACCTATTCCACCAAGAAACACCGTTTCGTTTTTGTTTTCGTTTTCGCGTAAAAAAAGTCATGCTCACTTCCGTTTTGCGAATTTTCATTTTCCCTTTTGTATTTCCTCTCCGTTGAAGAGTTTTCACTCCATTTTGATCCCTACTCTAGACTAGAGAAGGCACGTCCAGTTGAAGTGTTGATGAGAGCTGCTTAGCTGATTGCAGCATCATCTATCAGTAGGGCTCGATGATTCCGGTCAACTTTGAGCCGACCAAGTATGGGCGCTTCCCATAATGCAGGCGGCTGGGTAAGAATTTTCAGATCGAACTTGTGTCCAAGCCGAGTTGAGTGGAGTGATATAATACAGATAGATAGCTGGAATATTGCATCCTCAGAATACACAAGTCAACTCAGCCTTAAAAACTTATTAGCCTTATTGAGTGCAATACTAGATTTGGCCTGGCACACCCGGATAGATACGCACCAGGAGCGATCTCGTCCTTCCAAAAACTCGGTCATGCTGGTTCTCTTTTGCCTGCTGAAGACCTCGCTCTTTCTTTCGAGGAGGGCGAAGGCATGTCACCGTATTTTTCTCCCTTCTTACCACGGAGTAAGTAACGGCAGAGCTCCTGCCTTTCAGTTGAAAATCATTCATCATAACCTCGGGCGACAATCCTGTCAGCACAAGTAGCATCGCTGTCTCTGTTTTCCGGTGACAAACTGACAATGCAATTTGATCCTGCTTTGATCGTAGAGGCGACAAACGCGGAAGCAAACTTTCTAGGCGTCTTTTCCTTTCCACTTTCAAAGTGCCGGTAGAACTTTGGGAAATTAAAAAAAAAAACAGTTGCTTGACGAGCAGTCAATTCTCAGTCTGAGCTGATCACTTCCTCGATGCTCTTTCTCATTTTTTTTGTTGGAATGGCGCTCTTTTTCTCATTACTACCAGCTGATCCCGCCACACAAACTCTCCCTTGTCCAATCCAAGTATGCAATCCCTTTTTCTTCCGATAAAGAAAGAAAGAAAGATGTATACAACTCCTTGAGGAAAGAGAGATCAAAGCAGTGGCCTTGGTCCATGTGATTGTATATGTATGCATATATCCTTGGACAATTATTCGAGCTTACACACACAGATGAGAATGGATAAAGATTGCTTTGCGGAGTGTGGGATGCATCACTCGCACCACTGGCATGCATGCATGATGAGTGCATGATCAGCCGGCAGGGCACAAGAGAAAAAGTTCCAAATTTGGCATAGCATGTGGATCCACCGTAGTTTCAGAAAAGTAGAGGTTGCATGTTTGAGACGAAACCAGGGCATTTGATTTGGAGACAGGAAAATGCAACCCCTGTTTCTTGGTCTGTGCTCGACTCCGTCCTGTGTGGCCGGCAAGTGACCACGCCATATGTGTTGTGTGCACTGCACTCTGGTGAGGGTTCGCCGGAGCCAATCGGGCGCTGAAGATTCCCTTTAGTTTAATATAAGAAACATAAGGGGAAAGAAACATGTGTGGCCATCGAGAAAAGATATCACACTGACTGATTCATGCATCTACTACTGATCTCGCTTGGCAAGGGAGCAGATGAGAAGAGCAGCATCAGGCTGGGCTCCGTTCCTCCTGGGTGTCTCGAGGGCACACGGCCTTGTAGTGGTCGGGCAGACAGAGAAGAATGTGCACGGCACAGCGCATGCATGGATGAAAACAGAGCTGCCTGCCGGGAGACAGCAACCGGGTGCAGAAAAGCGTGCAGCAACTTGGGCGATCCGCAGCAGAGGCACCAGGGCTTTTTCAAGCGAGGGTTTGTGGCGAGGACAGGGTTGAATGGCTGAACGACTCTGACCTGCAACAACAGAAGGAGAACCAGATCCCTTCCCTTGATGAGGTGTTTTCACAAGAAAATGCATGCGAGTGAACAAAAGAACTCGCAACGGCGTCACCACCCGGAATTGGATGCCTTCTGAGGTCAGGTCAGGTAGTGCGCAAGCTGATCGGCGCAGCGCAATGCTAAAAGCCCGGTGATCGTTGCGTCAGCGACAGCATCTCTCTGTCTCGGATTTGGAGGTCACTCAGGGACCCCCATGTCGCAAGGAAACTCCATGAGGGGCCAAATGCACTGTTTTGACCCTTTTTTTTTAACTTAAGCACGATTTGACCCTATGTGCAAAAACTTTTCGGATCTGACCCTTTTTCTACCGCCATTGTCTTTGGCGGCAGGGTAACACACCCTACCGCCAAGGCCTTTGGCGGTAGGACTTACTTATGCCGTCACGTTTGTTCGGTGTGAAAAGGACCCTACCGCCACCGTCTTTGGCGGTAGGGGCATGCACGTAATTATAAAAAGGGCATGCATGCAAATAAAAGATTCATTTTTTACACAAATGACCCTACCGCCATAGCCTATGGCGGTAGGGTAACACATCCTACCGCCATAGACTGTGGCGGTAGGGTCCTTTTTGTAAAAAATGAAGGTAACGATGTAGGTAAGTCCTACCGCCAAAGGCCTTGGCGGTAGGGTGTGTTATATCGCGCTAAACTAACAAAAAAGGGTCAAAACAGTGATTTTGGCCTCCATGAGGTTGCTGAATCTACAGTACAGCCAGCTGCCTACTGAGTGAAAGTTGAAGCTCCCAAAAGGCAATCGCCAATATAATCATGCAAACTGCAGAGAGTGACACCCATCGGGCCGAAATAATGCATTGGAGGGAGAGTCCAGGTTTGCTCATCGTCCGTCATGGGTTTTTATCGCTTCTTACATCTGGCCCACGGCCTGGACATGAACATCATCAGCCCAGTAAGCAGATCTATGCTAGTATTCAAGTTCACGTCCATAACAGTCGGTCATCAGAACATTCTTATCAAAAATGGAAGGGGTTTAATCATTATTGTTGACTACTAAAGTACATGGGCTCATTGCTCCGACCAATACCAGCCTCTCAAGCAATGAACAAATGAATATCCATGATTCCAGGAAACCCAAAATGGTGACAACTAACCAACCAATTCGGATGGGAGCCTATGTGTTTCACGGGCAGCCGGCCAATAGGGGAAGGTTGTGAATGCGCAGCAGCTTCGCAAATAGGCGGGTTACACCTGAGCCGACTGCAGATATGTTCGCTCGTAAAGGCCCATCACCTGATCAGCCACTGTCCACATTATGGCCTGACCAGGTGGAATCCTCATGAGCCTGGGAAGCAGGCCTTTCCACAGGGCTCGGAGGCCCTCTTCCGCGTGTATCGTCCGTATCGCATGGAACATGCCCTTGTACTTGATGTCCCCGGTCCTCCCTTGGGCCATCAGCCTGGTCTTCACCACGTCGAAAGGCCCGGTGCAGATCGGCCCTGCGGTTCCTGCAAGAAACCCAGAGACCATGGACTGCCATGGCTGGAGAACCTTGCCGTCCCCTTCATGCTTCTTCCAGAGAAGAATGTCTATCGTGTTCTTGGCTGTGAACATCGCAGCTTGGTTTGTACCGTTACGCATGACAGTTGGTGATGCTCCAGACCACAGACCAAAAATGCCTTCCTCACGAACAATTGTCTTTGCACAGTGTATGGGCCCTTTATATTTCAGCAGGTCCGTGCTTAGTCCTTTTTGTTGCTGCAATCTAATCTTTACCACCTGCATCCATCATATAGAAACATTACAGCAATTCCCTCAACAAAACAAGCTTGAAATAAGACATAATCACAGTGACAGAATGTACATTTCAGTTTTCCCTATGAATATGAGAAGGTACAGCAACACAAGTCAAAATTAATACTCCCTCCGTTCCTAAATATAAGACCTTTTAGAGATTCCATTGTGGACTACATATGTAGCCCACAGCGGAATCTCTAAAAGGTCCTATATTTAGGAACGGAGGGAGTATAATTTTTCTCTTTTCTTTTGTGGAATATCTAATACTACCTTCGTCCCAAAATATAAGACGTTTTTTCTGTTCAAATTGAACTGAGAAAACGTCTTATATTTTGGGACGGAGGTTAAGCAATGCTTGGTTGTCTTGGTGTAACACAGACTGATGATTCAACTATAGAACACTGCACTTCCAGTCAAAGATGAAAAAAGTGAATTTGAAAAAATATACAATGGTGTCTTTTGGTTTAAGTATCCATTTCAATACAGTTACAGTGTTGGAGTCTATTTTCACATAGTTTTGTAACTTCAAGCAACATCTACTGTAGTACTAATTAAGAGTATTTTCTTAATACTTCCATGCAGTATAATTAGGCAGGCACTCTACACGTAAACACCAGAGGAACCTCAGAACCAACATTCAAAATGCATCACTCATGTTATAAGATCAAGCTCCGCTTCCCTGTTACAATACCAAAAAAGCTGCGCCTTTTGTCCCAAACTAGGTAATGTTTGAATTCTGATCCTAGCACCTTATCATTCCAGTTTTCTAGTCCTTGCTGATAATACAATGCTACAACTGAGACTAAATATGTTTGGATTGTAGCTAGTGTGGTGCTGGGAGTGAAACATAAGCCGGTGGATTTGAATGATATTTTTTCTGGTTGGTTTAATGTTTCTGTAGGAAGAGACAGAAAGTTTCTTAAGATTGGTGTGGCTGCTATCTTCTGGGCCTTATGGTAAAACTAGGAATAAAATCATGTTTTCAATGTGTGCGCCGGGAGATCCCACCAATATAGTTCTATATGTTTTGTCATTTCCTAACATCCTGGGCGCCCCTGCAGTAAGGTGGCTGTTGAGGTAGGGATGCCATCACTGGCGGAGGCCCCCGGTGGGCAAGATATGGCAGCCGCCATACCTTGATTCTAGGCATAAACAAATTTATACATACGCATGTATTGTCGATTGTCTCGTTCCCTCATTCTAGTGCAGCGAGAAAAAGGCCGCTGGCACACAGGCACGCCACACACACGAGTTGGGCCGGCAAACACAAGAACGTACGAGTTGGGCCTGCTGGCACAAACAGGAAGCGGTCGAGCTCGTTGATTCCATTGAGCGCCAACCCACACGCACGCGCAAGTGACGAACCCTAGCGCAGCGATGGTGGCTGGTCAGGTCGTGATCCGGGCGGGCAACTGGCGACGGGATAGCCTACGACACCGACGTGCTCGGGGCTTAAACGGCGGCGGCAGCAAGCTCCAGTGATGACAGCAAGGTTGCATTTGATGGGCTACGTCCTAAAAATGCCAAAATGACTTCCGGGACACTCAAGACCAGGAGAGGATTCCATGGAAAAGTGAAGCGAGGCTTCGACTCGCTGGTCATTGGAGCGTTGTGGGCCATTTGGAAGCAAAGAAACGCGCACGTCTTCAATCGGCCGGAGCAGGTGGTGGGCCCGAGAGAGCTCGCAATGGCGATTCTCGGCGACATTCGGGATTGGTCGAGCGCTAGGTTTGGTGTGGGTGGCCTAGATAGATTCGTGAGGAGTTAGCTTTTGGTTTTTTCGGTGTGGGTGTGCTGGCGACTAATGTTCGCATTGTTCGTCGGTCTCTTGTATATACTTTGCTTCCTTCTATAAAAATATGGTACGCCATTGGCGTACTCTCAAAAAAAAAAAACTTCCGGGACAATTCAAAAAGACCTTGTCATGGCTGATCTTTTTTTCGTGTGGACACCTTCTATGCTGCTATAGATTCCATCACCACAGAGTTTGATCATCGTTTTGATGAGGTATCTTCAGACCTGGTCCAGATCTTCTCTTGTCTTGACCTAAGAAACTCCTTTTCTAGGTTCAACCTGAATAAGCTTGCTAGGCTCACAGAGATTTATCATGATGATTTCTCTAATTATGAGCGTGAACATATAGAAGATAACCTTGATCTATTCATTATCGATACGAGAAGAATTGAAGACTTCAGATATTGTCATGATATTGCAAACCTAGCTAAAATGATGGTCGAACTTCAAAGGCATGTCATGTTTCCTACTGTGTATCGCCTCATGGAGTTGGCATTGCTACTACCGGTAGCGACGACAACAATCGAAAGGGCCTTCTCATCAATGGAAATCATCAAGATTGAGTTGCGCAGCAATATGACAGATGGTTGGCTTAATGACTTGACGATTTGTTATATTGAGCGAGAGATCTTCAAAAGTATTGATCTTAGTAAAATCGAGGAAGATTTTTAGAATGAGGGTAGGGCATTGCCATTGCCTGGGTCTTCTAGGCGGCATTGAAAGCTTCATTATTGGTACGTTTAAGGTTGTTTTCCTATTGAAACATGACTACATTTTCATTATATTTGGTTTTTTGTTTGTAATGTGTGTTGAATCTTTTGATTTGCATAAAAAATATATTCTTAAGACTTCGCCACACCTTAAAAAAATTTCGTCCTCCGCCTCTGGATGCCATAGACTGGCAATCTTGGCGCAGGAGGTGCATAGACGTTGGCATGGCTGGAATCCTACCACCATGGTACAGCAATGTAGTCGTCACTCCCTTTACTTCCTCGTGTCTATTGGTGCCTGTTCTGGATGATCTTCTGTCTAGCTTTTGATGTAAACAGCAACTCATCGTGTCTTTTATTCCTACCTGAATGTTATTTTCAGTTTGATCTTGTAGCTGCAGTGCTTTTAGCTTTGCAGGGTCTGGGTGGTTTGTATCCAGCCCTGGTTCTGGGTGGAGCGTGTGTGATACTTCTCTGATTTCTGAAATGAAATCAGGGCCGGTGGGCTCCATCCATCGGAAGAGAACAGCTGAAACTAAAGATGTCACAACTACCCACAGCATTCTCCCTCAAATGCATTTAATACTACCTCCGTACCAAAATATAAGACGTTTTGGTAGGCATTCTACTAGTGGACATAATTAACAAGAGGAGCAGGTGCCTCTGGGTCAAACGTGTTTGACAGCATTCTAATTGGCAGGGTAGGTAGACAAATGCCGCATCACTTCCTTGCGCATGTTACTAGCAGACCACAATTGGACCGCAAATCACAGAGCTTTCATGTTTTAATCCCAACGGACAGGTTGTCAGAAATGTATCAACATCATGCACAAACAATATTAAATAGCTGCCGGGATCTGGTTTATGTTTTCGTTATTTTTTTATACACATGAACGACGCAACCAACCTTTACATCGATAAACTACACTTTAAGATCCCAGCAAGGAATCATCTAGAGCTGTCCAAATTATATACGAATACAAAATGTGAACACATTGTACTCACGGAAAGCAAGCACGAACGATCTGGGAACCCATAGAAATAATCCTATTGTATACATACAAGAAGTAAGAAGTAAGAAGAGAGATGTGCAATCTGACCTCGAATGGGGTAACGATGATGAGGGCCTCGAGGACGCCGGCGCCGAAGCCGGAGGCGAGGCGGCCCTGCGCGGAGACCTTGCCGGTGACGGGGTCCTTGAAGGCGGACTGCAGCATGGCATTGGAGCCGAGGCGGAGCGCGTACTTGAGCGTGAGGTGGGTGGCGAAGGGCGTGAGCCCCTTCCAGAGCGCCGGCACGCCCTCGGCGCGCGCGACGGTGGTGCCGCAGTGCGCGATGCCGCGGTAGACCCCCGCGCGGTCGAGCTGCAGCCTCGTCTTGACGACGTCGATGGGCTGCAGGCAGCACGCCTCCATCACGCCGCCGAGCGACCCCGCCGCCGCCTTGACGTAGGGCGGGATCGGCGCCCTGCCCCCGCCGCTGCGTGGCTCGTCGGCCCGCGCCGGCGGCGAGGGCGGGGGCGGGGACGGGGGTGAGGCCATTCGGGACGCGGCGTGGGCCGATAGGCGGGCCTTAGCGGGTGGCAGGCGCGGCGGAGAAGAGGGTCTTGGATTGTTCCTCCGTTGCTCTTTTTCACCCACTTTTCTGCGGGCGATCCGAAAAGGAGCGGCGCTGGTTATATGGAATCGGCGAGACAGGAACGAAGAAGGGCACGTACTTGTCCCGGGACACGTCAGCCGTCAGGGTTTGGTCTATGATGAGAATGGAAAATGGTCCCACCTGGCCCAGCGCGTTTGCGGAAGGTAACTGTTTTTTTAACACAGTACAAACGCAAGCGCTCATATACACGCGCATACACTCACCCCTATGAACGCACACACGCACACCCTACCCCTATGAGCACCTTCGAAAGACTGAGCCGGCATATCATCTTGAAATTTACAAAGTCACCGTAGGCACCTCGTCGTCGACGGAAACGTCTCCCCCCATTAAATGCGCATCGTCGAAAATCCTGAAATAAATTTAGAAATAAATGCGAGCACCAGGACTTGAACCCTGGTGGGCTGGGGATACCACAGTCCCTCTAACCATCCAACCATAGGTTGGTTCGCCGGAAGGTAACTGTTGGTTGGCGGCACCAATTCGGTAATTTGGTGGAGCTCTTAGGCCGACCCCATCCTGTCTGCCCGCGTCCGTTTGGGGGTAAACGGACAAAGCAGACATTCCAACGCAGAGCCATAAACAGACTTGCGTCCGTTTTCTGTCCGCTTTCGACCCATTCCAGGCCCAATTTTGGGCTGAGTTTGCAGCCGAACGGACACGCGCGGATGCGAGTGGCGCGTGCCCTTGTCCTGCCCTGGCCCGCCCGTCGGGGAGACAGACCCCCTTTTCTCTTCTTCTACCTCCTTTCGCGCCCCGACATTGCCGCCGCCACCACCCTCCCCGTCCGCATCGTCTTCCACAAGGGTCGTCCCAACCAGGACCAAACCAAGCCATAGCTGTTTTCGCACCGGCTTTCCGGAAAGCATTTGGCCGGCGTTCTCCTTGTTGCCGGTGGGAGAGAAACAGCCGCTGGTGTCGCCCGTCATCCCCAACCTCTTCCGGTCAGCCATTCATTACCGCAGGGCGCCCTCCAGCACCACCGACCCCTCCCCCCAAAACCTTGCTCTGCTGCCCGCGTGGGGAGTAGGACGTGCACTATCCGGATGTTCCCCCAACACGACCGCATGGCGTTCGACAGATTGCTCACAAGGTAGAATGGATAGTGGTGATGAGTTTTTCTTTCACAACTTCATTTGGTCATCGGATGATTCATCCTCGGACGATGAAGAGCTGGTGGCTGCGTTGGTCGTACATGAACACATTAGTAGGAAGCGGCCTCGGTACAGGGGATCAATCCCCGACCATGCTCCGGCCTTGAACCACAATAGAGAGAAAGGCCACACCCTTCTCTCCCGATTACTTTAAGGATGGTGCACTCTTCAGGCCACATCAATTTCATCGTCGATTCCAAATGAGAAGGCATGTGCTCAATCGTATTCGCGAGGGAGTGGTCACGCATGACCTATACTTTGAGTGCAAAGAGGATGCCCTAGGAAAGCTTGGTTTCTCTTCATACCAGAAATGCACTACGGCTATCTGCATGCTTGCATATGAAATTCCTGGTGATCTTATGGGTGAGTATGTTCGTATGAGTGAGTCCACATGTCTCCTCTCAATGTATAGTTTTTGCCTGGCCGTGGCGGAAGTGTTCGTCCCCGAGTACCTTAGAGAGCCAATTGTCGCTGATACAGAGAGGTTGTTGGCGATCAATGCCGAGAGGGGCTTTCCGGGCATGCTTGGTAGTATGAATTGTATGCACTAGAAGTGGAAGAACCGTCCATTTGCTTGGCAGGGGCAGTACAAGGGGCATATGAAAGGTGCCACTATTATACTTGAAGGTGTGGCTTCACAAGATCTCTGGATATGGCATTCTTTCTTCGGCATGACTGGTTCTCAGAATGATATTAGTGTTCTTCAGCGGTCTTCAGTGTTTGCAAGGCTTGCAGAATGGCACTCCCCAGAGGTCAACTTTGAGGTCAATGGCCACCATTACAACAAGGGATATTACCTAGCTGATGGCATATATCCTCAGTGGCCCACTCTTGTGAAGACCATACCCAATCCATAAGGAGAGAAGAGACAGATGTTTGCCCAAATGCAGGAGAGTGCTAGGAAGGATGTGGAGCGTGCTTTCGGTGTGCTTCAGTCTCGACGGGGTATCATTCGTAACCCTACATTGACATGGAGCACGAATAAGCTTTTGGGAGGTGATGTCTGCTTGTG